CCCGCTATCACCCTAGCGGAAACGGACAAGCAAAGTCTACAAACTATACTCCAAAATTGAAAGAAGAGGCTGACCGATGCCAAAGGAAAGTGAAAGGAAATTCTGCCCGAAGTCTTGTGGGCTTATCGTACAACTTCGAAATCCAGCACCGGAGCCAGGTCCTGCGTCTATGGGCATACTTCGTTGATTCATTTTTGTTGCAAAGCTGCTGGCATGCCAGCCACGCGCGATGCATGGGCTTAAGGCAGGCTCCCAGATTTTATTTCTTCGTCTCTTTTCACGTTGAATCGTCTTCTTTTGATCACCTTTCGTCAAACTCGTTCTTACATAGAAGAACAACATAATGAGCATAATTCTCTTCTACATCATGTAACGTACTACAAATCAAACAAGAAATGAGATAAAAATATAACTATTAAATTGCACTTTTCAACATTATTAGTGTTAAAGTGTCTACTAGGAACAAATGTTAGTTGAAGTGTCTAAATACAATTTAGTGCCAATTTTAAGGGGATCGTCTATGTATTTGACCTTTCTCTTTTCTTGAACAAACTTCTCTTAAGAAAATCCTAAGCCATTCCTCCATATATCTATTCATAGGCAAAAAGAAATGTATTCTTTTGATTAGACAATGACATATTAGTGAAATAAAAATATCGCCAAAGGAACGCAACAAGACTGCGGCTTAGTATTGCTATTGCACTAAGGTTAAAATATTTAATAGTCACCACTCATTGCCTTGAAGTCATGTACATAGAGGCGGAGCCAGAATTTTAATTTTATGGGTTCGAAATTCTAATCATTAAAAGTTACTGAGTTCTAAATTAATCATTTATACATATTCAATGCATTTTGTAAGACAAACACAGAGTTTGAATCAAAGTTATTGGGTTCGGCCGAACCCGGTCTCAACACTCTACCTCCGCCACTGCACGTACATTGGCAAGACGTCCTCGTAATCAATCCATGCATGTATCATTTAATCACCTTGAGGTCATATACCAAATTGACATGAGAATCACCTCGGGGTCATATACCGAACTGACATGACTTACTTGCAAAACTTTCGTACCACTCTTTATGAATTACCTTGAAGTCAAATCGAATCGGCAAGATTTACCTGTAAACTTTTCCACTTGTGTCAGTTCAAAAATCATTACCATTATTTTGTTGTTTTTGTTTTTTGGTTAAATTGTACAATTGTTCGTTCATAAGTTACTAAACAGCCATGAAGTCATGGTGCATTGGCAAGATTTACTTGCAATCATCTCCTGCATGTGTTATTAACTAATGCATAATTGGTATAACTTACTCGAGAATATTCCTGACATTATCATTAAACTGCCTTCAAATGTTGATAAATTAGCATGACTTACTAGCAAACCTTTCCTACCTATCTTACTGAATTACTATAAAATGCGGATCATCAAAATGACAAAAACACATCAACCATCATTTTCTCAGACATTCACCAAATCAGAACCATCACATGCAAATCATGGCAAACCGGTATAACTCATGTTATATTTAATCGACCTGTCATGTTCAGTTACTCACAAATCACGTCGTATTATCATGCCTTCGATGCTACAAATACTCCTACTAAAGAGGCAAAAAAATAAATTTTAAAATTGTGACATGCAAGTCATGACATTCGTTGTTTTAGATAGCTAGCAACTATCTTGACCCGTTCCTCAAACCATTTTCACCCATTTTTGCGCATGTTAAACATTAGTTGATTCATATAAAGCCATATTTTAAATGAACAGTTGAATACATGTTAATCTCGAGTAGATTGAATGAGTAAAGAATTTTCGGTAATCTGCCATCGCATTGTTCGACGCAATTTAGCATAAAAATCTCAATTATTATTGTTGTTGCTTCCTTTTCCATATAACAAGACGTTCATATTTTTGCTCTCCAGAGGCACGAGAATCGCTCCATTACTGGATTATTCAAAGCAATAACGAGCTATTGTATAATTATCTATGAAGGTCATAGGATCTCCCCTTCTTGATTTGGAAGCTTCTTAATTTAGAAGCTCTAACAAACAAAAACTTGTTCTCTTAAAACCCTGCTCCACGAGAAACTTCGTTAAACAAGTACCAAGATTTCATAGGCGTGTATTCATAAGCTGACCTGACCAACTAAACAGAATATTAACATCACATCTTTAGTTTCCTTTTTTTTCCAGTTAAGCAAGAATTACAAGATCAGAGCCCCAGCAGCACAAAGAAATAAGCGACTTGCTAAACATCAGTCAATGCTATGGACATGAGCTACAAAGGCGTAAGAGAAGTAAGAATAATCAGAACACAAGGACAGCTCAATGTCTCTGTGCTACAGACGGCAGAGGGCTGATGGTTGGCAAAGGACAAATACACTGCAGAAAACAAGCTATAATTAGTGCGTATAATGTGAGATACGACTTGGAGCATGAAAATAGTGATCAGAGGCTAAAAGCACAAACGCATACTAACATTTCATCCAAATGAGTCTCATGATACGAGTGGAAATTGCAATAATTGAAACAAGGAAAAATGGTAAAAACTACCCCTCTACTATATGAAAAGGATCATTTACGCCCTCTGAGGGTGCCTAACACTTTGCACTAGTTTTATAACGTCGGGGACAATGATGAGCCGAAAGTATAACAGAGAGCATATATAATCATTTTCGCATAGTAGAAGGATATTTTTAACCCTTTTCCATTGAAACAATAAAGAGAAAAGGGCACCACATGCATCTTCCATTAACAACTCTAAAACCAGCCATATTGGCTCGTAGATTCCTCATTAAAGTAACATCTCGTGAATACTCAAATCCAGTCTTATCTTTAGAATATCTACCTACCGAGTCCTGACCCAACTACCAAAATGAGCTAGCCGAACTGGAGAAGCACAAAATGCTTTAAAAGCCATAAAGGTTAACCAAAATTGCAAACGAGTAAAAGAAACTAAATAACTAAATTTCCAGCAGGACAAACTGTCCTTTTCAAGTTTATACAGAGTCCATAGGAGATTACGTGAGCTTGTCTTCCCCTTTAAACAAGGGCAGCCCGGTGCACTAAGCTCCTGCTATCCGCAGGGTCCGGGGAAGGCGCCGGACCACAAGGGTCTATTATACACCGCCTTACCCTTTGTTGTACTTAAAAGTGTTAACTAGGTCAAGCAAAAGATTCAGGGTAATCTAAGCAATTAATGTTTCTTCCCCTTTCTAAGTCAACATCAACAGTAATTTACTAATCCTGTAAAGCTATATCAAAACACCAGGTCAACTCCTTATAAAAAAAAGGTCAATTAAACTTTCTTAAGACATAACTCTCAAAATATATCATAGATAATCCGTCTTTAATCATTTTCCCACCTTTACTCACGTTAGCCTCTTCTTCTGGAGGGTGGTTTCAGCACAAACTTACAAACTGTTATAAGAAGTGAGTCCATAAATTCATAAGTTACCGTGCACATTGTTTCATCAATAACATAACAGGTGGTTTGACATATTAATTTGATTTTTCCAATAAGAAAGCATTTGGAATTTACTATGCTCATGCGAGCTTTCTGGTGTGTGTGATATGTACTTAATAAAGAATACCATTTAGGTCATCATATTATAAACTTTACTCTCTAGACACTGCACCGAAATTTCTAGGAGCATCAGTGCTCTAACTCAATCACTAAGCTCATGTATGAATTACTATAAATCACATGAAAAGACTTTCTTGTTTCATATGTTACTGTAGGAACCATATATATCAAAATTCGGACAAGATCCATATGAGATGCCGCATCTATATCCCTAGACCTCACCACGTTCTCATATGTAGTGTACAGCAAATAGTAAACATTAGACCTATCAGTCTCTTTCAGAGAAACCTCATTAGGCATAGTCATTTAGAACCATACTGCACAACAGCAGGTCAGATGCAAACCGTATCTCCTTCGCAAGGTTGTAAATAGCGCTCGCCTCAGCTCTAATAGCGTGAGGCGTAGCGATGCGAGCCTCAAGCGCTAATTGCCCCGGTTGCGTTGCGATTTTAGAAAGGCGCTCGCCTCTGCCTATGTAGCGAAAGGCGACTGTAGTGTCGTTTTTTGAAAGAAAAAAAATGCAGCAAACCAGCGATTAAAAGAAAAAGACCAGCGACTAGGGCTTTCAGCCATTTCTTTCTTCTTCAAGCTTCAAGCAGCAGACCAGCGATTTCTTTCTCCTTCAAGTCGACCCAGCCACAGCAGAGCACCAACGATTCTTCTTTCTTCTTCATCAAGTTCTCTTCTTCTCCTTTGTTCTTCTTCGAGTTTCTGCCATTTTTTTCTTTCTTCTCCTTTCTCCTTTCTCCTTGTCTTCCTTTTTCTCCTTTTTCTCCTTTCTCCTTCTTCTATTCTTCTTTTATTTTTTGCTCTGTTGTTTTTGAATTTTGATCGAGCATACAGAGAGCTTTTTCTTTCATTCTTTCTTCCTTCCTTCCTTTTTCTTCTTCTCTTCTTTTTTTTGGCTATGTTTTTTCAATTCCTTCACGGGTAGAGGCAGAGAGCATTATTTCAAACCTGAAATTTCCTTCTCTTTTCAGTTATAGAGTAGAATTAATTGCATATTGACTTGATAATTTTTTCCGATAAAACAGTATCGAAATGGCGTCATCCAATGGTAATAAAATAAATGATATAGCTTGGAATTAGGCTATACAAGGCCCATCAAGATCCGCAATTAAATGTGTGTTGTTAAGAAAATAGCATGGTGGAGTAACTCGTCACAAACAACATTTAATTGGTAAATTTAAAAATGTAGTACAATGTCCTCTTTGTCCGCCTGATGTTAGGGAGGAAGTAAAAGCATTTGTTGAGAAGAAAAATGTGACAAGAACTCAAATGACTTATGAAGCATCGGTGAATCTTATTGATAAAGATGATGAAATGGGACCTTCCCCCTCCCCCTCCCCCTCCCCCCCAAAAAAAACTCAAAAGATATCTTCAAATAGTTCTAGTGGGTCATCCACAGCGCGTATGGTGACAAAAGGTCCTCTGAATCTTTGTTTCTCGGCAAAACAACAAGAAAAGGGAAAAGGTGTTTCTGGTTCAGGTTTAGAAACCAAAAAGATTTTGAGGGATCGCGCCGTAAGTGCCTCTGCAACATGGATGTATGATGCAGGGCTCCTTTTCAATTGTGTTAACTACAAAAATTTTGATAAATTCATTGAGGTCGTAGGACAATATGGCCCAGGAATGAAGCCTCCTAGCTATCATGAAGTTAGAGTAACTCATCTTAAAAGAGAGGTGAAGAAGATAGAGGAGCATAGAGCGGAATGGAACAAGTTTGGATGTTCCATTATGATGGATAAATGAACAACACGGAATGGAAAAATAGTCATAAATGTGTTGGTGAATTCTTCAAGAGGTAGTGTTTTTCTTGTATCTTACGATTCTAGCAACTCTTCTACGGATGCAACCAAAAGGTACCACTTGTTTGCAAAGACAATTGAGAAAGTTGGAAAGGAAAATGTTGTACAAGTTGTTACCGATAACGCTAGTGAGAATGTTAGTGCGGGTAAGATGATGCAAGGTGTATATACACACATTTATTGGACTCCATGTGCTGCATATTGTATCAATTTGATGTTTGGTGACATATTCAAGGAAAACTCATATGCTTCAGGTAACTTTAATATAGTTATCTTTAAAGCTTTAACTTTATTTTACTTATGTCCTATTAAGTATTAACTATAAAATTGTTATTATCACTTTTACAGTTTTCACTAAGGTCGTCAAGATATATTCTTACATCAGTCAGAGGCCATTGTTGTTGAATTTGATAAAATTTACAAATGAAAGAGATTTGGTGAGACCGGCCAAGACTAGATTTGCAACGGCTTTCTTGACTTTGCATAGTTTTTACTTGCAAAAGAAAAACTTGAGAAAGCTAGTTCTTTCAAATGAATGGAAAGAAAATAGATATGCAAAAGAAGCTGCGGGGTAAGAAACTGTCATAATTCTTATTTCTTCATCATTTTGGAATGACGTCGTTCGGGCTCTTAAAGTTGGTGGACCTTTGATTAGGGTACTTTGTATGGTTGATGGGGAGAGAAAACCACCAATGGGCTATCTTTATGAAGCTATGGATAGAGCCAAAGAAACTATTGAAGCGTCATTTGAGGGAGATCTGAGGAAGTATGAGAAAGTTTTTGAGATTATTGATAGAAGGTGGTCAGATCAACTCCATCGACCTTTGCATGCAGCAAGCCATATTTTGAACTCGGGATTGTTTTACAAGAACAATAAAGATGGCACTTTAGATTTAGAGGTGTGGGTTGGATACCATAAACGTATTGAGAAGTTGGTCCCCGATGCAGCGATGGTAGATCAAATAAGGGAGGAGTTTGGTAAGTATATACAAGCAGATGACCTATTTGGTTTATAGGCGACTATTAGAGCCAAAGACATAAGGTCACCAGGTAAAAAACTTTAATATAGATATCTTTATAGCTTTAATTTATTTGATTTATTTATACTTATTAACTTTTAAAATATTTTTCTATAGTTGAACGGCAGATGCAATTTGGTCATCAAACTCCAAACTTGCAAAAGTTTGCCGTCAAAATACTAAGCTTAACTTGTAATGCATCTGGATGTGAGAGAAATTGGAGCGTATTTGAGCATGTAAGAAGCAGATTTATTATATTAGTATATTCTATACTGTATTATTATTAGTATCTATTAATTACTCTCTATAACTTATACGCAGATTCACTCCAAGAAAAGGAATAGGCCTGAGCTATCGCGTCTCAATGATCTAATGTATATTAAGTATAATAGAACATTGAAGCGTCGTTATGACGCTCGCAACACCATTGATCCAATTTTGCTGGATAACATTGACGAGGCAAATGAATGGTTAACTTGAGCCCCCAAAAATCATGAAGATGAACAAGTGTATGTAGGAGATGATCTTGATTGGGGTAGTGTTTCTACAGCTGCTGGAGTTGAGGAGAATATTTATTGTCTTAGAGGGAGTTCTTCAAGTTCAAATAACAAGAGAAGGGGAGTAGCTAAAAGTTCAAGTCAGTCCCTAATTGATGAAGACTCTGAGGATGAAGAAGATGATAGCCAATATAATGCTAACATTTTTGAAGTTCAAGAATTTGAAAATCTTGAATAAGAATAGATATTGCTTGTTTTAGTTTATCAATCTACTACGACTATCTATTGAGTTTTTAACATTGAATTGATATATTTATTAATATATTATTGCTATTGAATTTTTGGTTATATATATATATATATATATATATATATATATATATATATATATATANATCAAGCAATCAAAACTTTCTAGCAAGCAAGCAATTCTCTGTACTGGTGTCTCTCCCCCTCGACACCGCGTTGCTTTTCTGTAATAGCTTTCATTAATGCAATCAAGCTTTCTTTCATTCTGAATTCTCATTTCTGTTCTCTCAATTGCTCTTGACATTGGTTTTCCCGTACGGCACTGACAATCTCGCCTAGCGTACGGAGGGGACCTCAGTTGGCGGACAGCAACTGCACTGACATCAGTTGCCTAGCCTTACGTCGCCCTTCCAAGGAATCTCAGGAAGGCGCCGCGTAACAGGTGATGCGATGCGAGCCTCCAGCGCTATTTTCCTCTGTTGCATGGCGATTTCAAAAAGGCGAGCGCCTCTGCTTGTGTAGCGAGAGGCGCGTTGTAGCGTTGGTTTTTGAAAAAAAAAAGAAAAGAAAAAGGCAGCAGACCAGCAATTAAAAGAAAAATTTAGGGCTTCTGCGATTTCTTCTTCTTTCTCCTTCAAGTCGACCCAGTCACATCAGCAATTCTTCTTTCTTCTTCAAGCTTCTTCATCAGTTATGCTTCTCTTTATCTCTTTTCTTCTTTCTTCTTTCTTCTTCTCCTTTCCGCCCTTTTTTCTTTCTTCTTCTTTCTTCTTTATTTCTTCCTGTTTCTTCTTTTTTTTCTTTTTTGCTCTGTTGTTTTTTTGATCGAGCAGCAGAGAGCTCTTTCTTTCATTCTTTCTTTCTCCCTTCCTTCCTTTTTCTTCTTCTTTTCTTTTTTTTTGCTCTGTTTTTCAATTCCTTCACGGGCAGAGGCAAAGAGCTTCAAATCTGAGTTTTTAATTGATATATTTTTGAATTGATATATTTATAATATATTATTGCTATGAGTTTTTAGTTTTTATATATATATATATATATATATATATATATATATATGCAAATTTAATATTTTATTTTTTTATATAAATTGTCGCTTCACATCAAAAAGGCGAGCGCTTCGCTTCTCACCGCTCGCCTCAATGAAGCGGTCCTTCGTCACTATTTGTCCCCTCACGCTATCCAAAACACTGCTCCTTCACTACCTCAGTGAATATATGCGATACAGGACAAAAAATAATTTAAAATATTAACTACTGATTTTATCAGCACTCTCGATTCAAAGTACAATTAGATGGATGAACTATTGACAAATACTATCCTGTCTACCAAAGATGATACATGAGGTAACTATGATTAAGATGTCCATAAGTGATGAGTAGTATGAAGAAAATTTTAGACAGAAACAAACCCAAATGAAATAAACAGCGGTAAAGATACATATTTCAGTAGTTAAATATATACTAAAATGTAGCTCCTATTGGGGGAAGATACTCTTAGATGGAGCAAACATAGTAGTGAAATTTATGCAGTTAGCTCAGCATACAAAGATCTAAACCAGGTGGGTTCTCAAATCAGCTTATGGCCTTGGAAGCACATATGGAAAGTAAAGATACCATACAAAGCGGCATGCTTTACTTGGCTGGTGACCAAAAAAGCAGTGCTCACTCAGGAGAACCTAAGGAAGAGAGGATTACCAATTTGCTCAAGATGTTATCTGTGTGGACAAGATGCAGAGACAATTAGCCATCTGTTTCTACATTGTTGAGTGACTAGTCAGCTGTGGGATCGGTTCCTCAACCTCAGGGATTTTAGGTGGACAATGCCAAGGAAAACTTCTGAACTTTTGTCTAGCTGCAGCACAGGGGGAAACTCTAACTCTAACAAAGATAGATGGCAAGCTGAAGATAAAAGCAGCCGCGTAGCCCCACAGAGAAGATCAAGATGAATGTTATTCTTCTCTTTAGTTTTTGGTGTAAATTAGAATATATTGATGATCCGAATGCAATCATAGAAGTTTTAGGCTCCTTATAAGAAGAACAAGGAGTTAGGGTTTTTGGTTTTTGTTTCTACCTTCTCATGATGTAAATGTTGGCTTCCAATACAAACTCTGTGCTGATGATTTTATTTATATATTGGATATGTTACTTTCTCCAAAAAAATGTAGCTCCTATTTTGCATCTATGATGACTGACATTGAGATATCAACTAATAAATGTCACAACAGCAAAGGTATAGTTATTCTCACCACTAAAGGTACCAATCTGAAGATAAATCGTTAGCGAAGGTATAGTTATTCACAACTAAAGGTGCCAATCTGAAGATACATCGTTTTAGTGAGCAAATACATTAACTATATTGGAAGTGCAAAGAACACAAGAACATCGACACTAACTGTACGTATGGATAAAACAATTAATATCAGGAAACAACTACTGGCAATAGAGGAGCCATAAGGTGCCAGAAATGCCCACTTCTAAAGAAATTGTTATCAGGTAATTTACCTAAAAGGTCAACTATCGTACACCATATGAAAAACTGGAAACAACTTTCAATAGCTTAGGAAAAAGTAGAAGAGATTCAGAACCTCAAAAGGTTAAGTAGCTAGAGTGAAAGAAATGAATCGAATTCAACTCACAATGCCATAGCTTTGTTTCCCCAGAAAAAGCACATCAATTTTACTTTGTCTCTTCCACAGTATCATCAGAATCTGAATCACTGACATTATAACCTAAAAAAGAAGAAATCATGAAGACACATATTGGACTGATGCACATAGTCAATAAAAGAGGTAGTCTGCACACCTGGGCGTTTATCACTCACTTTCCATGCTGAAGACCTACTCTTTGAAGCTCGGTTAATCCAAGCTCTTCCCTAGACCCAAAAATAATCAATTAGTCAAAGCATTTCGAACATCCCATGCCAAAAGCACCGACACATCTCCCACACACACAAATGCACATTTACAAAGAAGAGAGCTGATAACAGTCATAATTTCAAGTAAAATTCAACCGCTGCTCTTTTCTTTGGACTGATTTGGTTCACCAAAACTCTTTTGTTCATGAAACGTAGTTGAGAAACTTATTTCATCAGAAAGATCAACATTGATAAGTGGTTCAATCCATCTGTTTTCCTTATGTCACTAAGCAATTTACAAAAAAAAATTATCCAATAATATCTGCATAAAGCACAAACTATCACTAAATCCAATGTATTAGCATTTATCTCTTTATCTGGAGTTGCTCTAGCTTTTTTTTTTGGGTCCCCTCTGGCCTTCAACAATTAAGAGGAGAGCAAAACAGTTCAAAGGCAATTGCATTTTTATGTTAAGATGACGGTCCCATTCTCTTTACTTATATGTATCTTCTTGGGTCACAGTGAAAAACTTCAAAACTCAAATGATAGATCTCTCCCTGCTTATTAAAATGATAAAACCCATGACTGTGACTCCACATCAATTGTTAGTTACTTATTCACGTCTTCCCTTTACCTTTAACATAGTTGAACCGTTTTTACTTTGCAACCATGAAGATAATGATAAGAGTTCAAGGGAGATTGCCAATTTATGTTTAGAAATGCTCTTTTAGCTACTGTCTTTTACCGTTTCTCTGTCAATACCTAGTAAATAGAAAACATGAATCTCAGCTAAGTTACTAAATCCAATTTTAGCATGCTAAGAGCCCTAGTAAGTGAATATTACAGCATGTAAAGCAAGAACAGAGATAGTAAAATGCATAATAACATGTGTTCGGCTAAGACAATATCTTCCATCGAACAGGGAGTGACTTGCTTTCCCAAATATCACATTTCTTATTCTATATCACATTTCTTAGTCAATATTTTCAATCATTAATACTAAAATTTGTCACCAAATCACTTTCTTCAAATCCTATCGACAAGGGCAGGGCAAGTGTCCCAATTAGGAATTCGGCAGAACCAGTAGCTTTGACACAGAGCCTGTATTTGATTCATTAACCCAATAAAGCTTTTCTAAAATCCAGAAATCATAAACTCAAAATCCTGGCTACTCTTATGCAACCATCTTGTACGATGATGATAAGTCACCTACTTTATAACAAAAAAGATGAGAAAATGATTTCACCTTTTGCGGGTCTCTGGGGATGCCATAGCCATTATAATACATCTGACCCACAAGCACCTGCATAGCTGTATCCCCAGCTTTAGCCTCCTTAAGAGTGTCTTGAAACCACCGCTTAACGCACTCCCCCACTACGTCGGCAAGCGGATGCCGCCGCTGTTCAGCCAAAGGCTTGGAATTAGAGTTTGAACTCTCTTCCTCCATCTTTGATTTTATCTTGAGCCGCTGCTCCGACGATTCTCCGGCAACTCCTTTTGACTTTGGTGTCTCCCTTTCCGTGGATGAAATTGATGGCCTAATCTTTGATGTACGGTGGAGTCTGTTAGAGCTGATGATTCTTGCAAATCCTTGAGGAAGGGATTTCCCCATATAGTGTGTGCAAATGTACCAAATTTAAAGTATCTTATTTGTTTGTTTCCACGAGAAAGGGCTGTTTAAAATTAGAGATTAGGAATCAAGAAAGTGCAAAATTTAGAGATTTTTCTGTTCCTTTGTGTTAGCTGAATCATATGGTTCCCGGCTGACAGGCATCTTTCTTTTTTTTTTTTTTTTTTTATTTATTTAAGGTATTCCAAGATGTGACCATTATAAATTACTCAAAAGAATAATAAACTATTGATACTAATCTTTTGCTTTAT